CGAGGAAGTGTTTTCAGGTCGCGTTATGTTCCTTCCGGAAACCCCCTGTTCTCATGATTACTGTTACCTAGGCCTGCCTCTCCACACTACTGGTTCGTTTTCGGTAGTTCCAAGCCATTGTGTTTTTTCATTTGAATTAAATAAGGTTTCAGGTGATACAAACATAATTTTGCCAGGTACTAGAATTGTGGTGTTCTTCTAAAAAAAGTGCCCTTGTAGTTGCATTCACTTTGTTTATTTTTAGAAGTCTTTTGCAGACGGACAGTGGTTCGTGCATGGATTGACGCTGCCAGCAAATTTGGCTGAAGTTGATAGCTACCTTTACAAAAAGCAGAGAGCTCGTTTCGACAACCTTGTCAAGAATGGGAAACATCGTGTGAATACGACCGTAATCATTGACACCGATCGGGCAAAAAATATCCAGGTAGTTCCCTTTGTATATTTCTTTCTCCTTTCAGCGGCTATCAACTAATCTGTGGTTCCAGATCGAATCCACTGCCGAAATGATTTGGCCACGTCTTTTGACACGGAATTCTGTGCATTTCCCGTTGACAGCGCTTGGCAATTTTACGGTATGTAAGTGGATTGTAGTGATGAGCGATGTTTCAATAGTTTGATTGTAGATAGTCAACCTCACACTGGCAAATCCGACGTCGGTCCCTATTGCAGTACAAGTTATCCCGTTAGTGATCTATCCAGATGCGGACGCAGTGGTGGAATTTTTCCGCGAACACCTAATTACGCCTCTTACTGCTGAGGTGGAAATGAATGAGACGTTAATGTTTTCACTGCGCGATACCGAACTGTTCACTCTGAAGCCGGATAGCCCTGTACCAAGACTACGGGAAGAACTTGAAGCTGCCATACCGCAGACTGTTCCAAGGTATTTTCTTATGAGTTTGCTGACAGTGGCAAAGGCAGCATAATGCAAAAATCTTTTTAAGATTCACTTTATCGTTGTTGTTGAAACCTCACATGAAAGTGCGTTTGCGACTAGGCTTTTTGCCATCGGACTACACTCTTCGTTCATCCTTGTTACTCATTAGGTAGGTTGATATCTGGTCCTTTGGAGGTCCTCGTGACTTCAAATCAGTTATTCTATTTCTCTTTTTATACTGATTTACATTGGTTAAGGAACAATTTGACGGTGATTGAACCGGTTGTGGTGTATGGCAGAGGGGCTCGTATCGGAATGCGCGTGGAAAACATGGAGGCACGGTCGAAACAACCCCTCCTTTTCGAAATTCGGCATGATCATCTCAGCGATTGTAATAATCCTAAACGTGAGTATGAACACTGTTCACGCCAAGGTTCCACCGATTTGCAGTACAACCGTTTTTCGTTTTTGGCGGAGTAAAAAAACTTTTTCATCAGTTGGCCTAGGGCCGTGATAGAGGTGCTGAATCTCTTCTTTACAGGTCTGATGCATAAGCTCAGTTCCACACTCACTGTTCGTCGTCCGTTTTCGGTAATGAACTCAGGAGAAGTGCCGTTCACTGTAGTCAATATGAGCATTAACGGTGTGCCTTGTGAAAACCGAGGATTCCGCATTCTCAACTGTTACCCATTTCGCCTTCAACC